TGAAAAGCAGGGTCACGGGAACTGCCACCACCTGCCGGTAGCCACAAGTCCACCCGGACATCAGGCATTGTATATAGCAATAGCGTGTAAACAAATAAAGATACCTAAACCCTAAACCCTAAAACCCTAAAACCCTAAACCCTAAAACCCTAAACCCTAAAAACCCTAAAACCCCTAAACCCTAAAACCCTAAAACCCTAAAACCCTAAAACCCATGCATGGTTGTAGATAGACATCAGTGCGTGGTCTGTCCAGGGTTGCAGGATGTATGTGTGTGAAGATAGTCTGTCTAGTATTGCAGGATGTATGTGTGTGAGGATAGTCTGTCTAGTATTGCAGGATGTATGTGTGAGAGGATAGTCTGTCTAGTATTGCAGGATGTATGTGTGAGAGGATAGTCTGTCTAGGCTTGTAGGATGTATGTGTAGGAGAACAGTGTGTGACCTATATCTGCAAACTCCCCGAGTGATTGTATAAGACATTTTTTTTTTGCTTTTTTCTTCTTCAAAATAGACCATACATACGAGTAGTGCTTTATCTCTTTCTCTCTGAACCATCCGTGACACCTTCATCTCACAACCCTTTCCCCATCTTTCCTTCACCCTTCACCAGAGTTTCGGTACAAGTCTAGCCACAGCCATAGGTGGATCCATGGTGGGCGTCTTCGGCATACAGACCGTGGTGCCGTGTGACTTCGACAACCTCGCGTTGATGGTGTTGTGCTTGAATGTGTTGCTGCCACTGTGCAGCATCCCCTTCACCTTCTTGCTCATCCCCAACCTGCGCATGACGGACAGCTTTGAAGAGCACCTTAAGAACAAGCAGAAGACAGAGACTGACGATATCAGCACCGTCAGCATGTCAGAAAGCGTGCTGTCTGCGGCGGATATAGATGAGTCTAAGGCCAACTTGACCAAAGGCTAGAGACTTAACATTAGCAAGTGGGTGTACGCTAGAGACGTAACATTAGCAAGTGGGTGTACGTGTGCACGGAGGAGGGACATACGACTGTACTTTTGAAGGTCCGTTGGGTTATGTGACAGAGCTTCAGTAGGATTCTGATTCTGCACCCACTCACCCACCCACACCCACACACCCACACACACTATATATATATACATATATTATACGATTGTTTCGAAGCGCTGGGGACACAGGCTTTTATGATCCATTGTGTCTGGGATCTGGCGCTTGTAACCTAAACTCAATTTACAAGTTAGCATACACGTACATTTACATACGTACATACCAAATTATCTAGAAAAACAGTCGAATTTAGAATAATATCACTGTTATTAGTTGAACAACATACAATGTTGGCGAGCACAGGTCTGTTCCCAACTAGTCATACTACACGACAGCAGGTATAGCGATCTGCCACTCAGTGCACGTGGTCGGTTGGTGACGAGAGGCACTACCAACCCTCACACGAACGAACCGAATGAATTAAAAACCATCTGAAACATGCCCTGTGCTGTACATACACACACACACACACACACACACACACACACACACATATATATATATATAAATATATATATATTGTACGTATATCGTACTTTTTTAAAACGTTTACTTATATGGTACTGTTTTGAGATGTGTACTTGTATCGTACCTTTTAAAACGTGTACTTATATCGTACATTTATAAAACGTGTTCTTATATCGTACCTTTTTATGACGTGTACTTGTATCGTACCTTTTTAAAACGTGTACTTGTATCGTACCTTTTTAAAACGTGTTCTTATATCGTACCTGTTAAAACGTGTACTTATATCGTACCTTTTTAAAACGTGTTCTTATATCGTACCTTTTTAAAACGTGTACTTGTATCGTACCTTTTTAAAACGTGTACTTATATCGTACCTTTTAAAACGTGTACTTATATCGTACTGTTTTTAGATGTGTACTTGTATCGTACTTGCATCGTACTTTTTATAAAAGTGTACTTTGGTTTGCTGCTTGGGCTCTTGAACAACTCACTAACTCGCTGGCTGTTTCTCACGCCTGAGAGCAATTGGTAGATATGTGGATACTATTACCAAATTGGCGCTTGTAGTCTTCTACCAAATTACTAAATTCGTTCTAATACCAAATTTGTGCTTGTGGTCTATTACCAAATTACTAAACTCGTACTAATACCAAAATACTAAATTCGGACTAATACCAAATTTGTGCTTGTGGTCTATTATCAAATTACTAAACTCGTACTAATACCAAATTACTAAATTCGTACTAATACCAAATTACTAAATTCGTACCAATACCAAATTACTAAATTCGTACTAATACCAAATTACTAAATTCGTACTAATACCAAATTTGTGCTTGTAGTCTATTACCAAATTACTAAATCCCCGTCGTAACACTGTGCTTAAGATATGTATGTTGCATCAGTTGACATCAATGGCCTAATATCAAATGTCTCATCTGCTACCTGTGCCGGGAGAGCCATACCCACCTACTCACTCTACCCTCCGCCGTAACGACGAGTACAGTTTCTAAAGAGTTGTTGGTATAAGAGTGTCGAGCGAGCAGATCTGAAAACCACCACCTGACCTTTTGGGACTATATATTGGCATTGAAGCATACAAATTCGGCACAACACCCTGAATTTGGACTCTACTAAATTACATTTATTTGGGTTGCACCCATTCTACGCCGTGGTCAGTGGCTGCTTGGACGCTCAAACGGCGACCGCCTCTGCGTAGGAAAGCGTAACGGTCTCTAACACGCCCGTGCCACGCAACACATAACAATACGACTGCCGCCGGTCTACCTTGCTTGTACGCCCCTTCCCGTCCGTACCTTTACTTCCTATAAACGGGTTGTCACTCATTACAAACGCTTTGCCCTGCGTGTTCAGTGTTGTGTGTACCGATGTAACGAGCCGCGCATACGGCCCCACATCCACCGCACGCAATCGCACACAGGTAGGTAGCACACGCCATACCTCCATTAGTTTCCGCCTGGGCGCCAGCATTACCAGCAGCGTGATAGAGCGGAGGGGATGGGTGGTATCTGAGAAGCGTAGGTTAGGGAAAATTTGAGTGTGTGACCGACACGATGAAAGGCTTTCAGCCACATGTAAGTGCGATGACCTCCAGTATGATAGGAGTGGCTCAAGTACAATATGTAGGTAGGATACGGATATATATATATTATACATTTGTAATAGGATTGTAAATTGTGTGCATTTGTATATGAACTGACCTTGCTGGGGCTCTTCCTTGACTTCTATCCACCCGCATTGTGCTTCGCGGTAGCCTTTCCACACGCGCAGATACACCAAGCGCGTCATGTCGCAGAGCAGAACGCGCCCGAGGTTATCAGACAGCGCGGCATACTATAGGGTTTATAGTGTAGGGTTTATGGGTTAGGGTATAGGGTTTAGGGATCGGTTCTGCTTTGAAACACCAGGGCAGATTGTGAAATAGCAATGAATTTGCTGACTCAAACGACGTGTAAGGGGTTTAAAGTTTGGTGAGTGTATATACTTCCCTTTTGTTAAGATTAAAGACTGACCTATCACTAGGCACGTACGGCTGTAACAACTCAGTCCATGGTTTAGAGGGTTAGTGCTCTACAACTCTAAACCCTAGTAACAACTCAGTCAATGTTCGCCCACGACAGAAAAAGTGAAAACAAAAAAACGTATATAAAACGATGCAGTTGAGTGTGTCAGTTTGTGTGTCCAAAAATTCCAAACACATAAACAATGGCTGCTAACTCGTACTCTCCGCTATGATCCTTTCGCGAGTGACAGATAATGTTAAACGTTAAACGGGCGACCCATCTTTATAGCTACCTCTTCGAATGGCCAAACATGAGTTATTTGACAGGAAAGCGCATTTCTGTGAACTGACACTCATAGGATAAGCAATATATATATATATATATATACACACACACACACACACACACATAC